TAAATGTCTTCAATTTGAGTTTGAATTTGGGTGGAGGATGAGTTTACAGGCAGCTGTAAAACACTGAACTTGGTATGTAGAGTAAGGATTGCTTTCCTGTGAAGCTGTGGCGCTGGAGGATGCAGTTGTCATGGGGCCATAAAAGAGCAGCTGAGGAGTTACGATATTTCCATTTTAGAAGGGAAAACATGGGTCTCAACAGCTAGGTGTCACTTACTTGGTTATTTGAATTAGAGAATTGCTTTCGCTTACAAAGGGATTTTCCTGGTATATGGATGCAAAAGTCATTCCATGCTGCCTGAGAACTGCTAAAGGTGACTGGCTGTGAAAGTACGGTTCGGACGAAGCCGATGTAAAGGCACCGCAGTCATTTCACAGTCAACAGAAAAGACACACAGAACTCTGAACATTGACTGTTTTAGCAGGGATTTGCTAAAGAGTTACTGTTCTCATTAGGTCATCACACACAAACACACTAAATTCTGACTGAACTCTTCCTGATCTCACCTCAGGTTGCATATAGTTTCAAATAGTCCAGGTTGGGCTGGGAAAGTATACCACCACTTACCTTCTTGTTAATTATTTATATAGTAAAAGATTTGAGGCAGCAGTACAATGAAGACAGTTACCAAGACCTCAGTGGTCGATTGTTTAGTCTAGAAAGTAGCATGAAACAGTAAAAATACAATTACCCAATTTAAGCCCATGGTTTTTAAATGTTTTATGACAAAATAAATTAAGATTAATTAAATAATGTTTAGTTACATTTTCACATTGTCCATCAGTATATATTTCATACATGCAGTGCACAGTGTGGACTGTTTCACATATTATTTTATATTTATTTTAAAATATGTTATTGTATTATATTTCAGCTGCATCTAAACTAGATTCAAAAAGGAAAAAAATGGTCAAAATGTTGGATTTGTTTAAAAAAAAAAAGAAATTATGTGAACAAATACACAGTTAGGTTTCTGTTATTTTCTTTCTTTATTTACCTGCAAA